TAATGTTAATAATGTTGACAGAAAATAAGTTTGAATCTAATAAGAACTCCGAGGAAGCCTATGAATCTATTGAGAAAATCTGTTTCACTAAAGTGAGTACAATAATATCAAATTTAAATACATCTCACACCTATGTTAATATTCTGATTTGTAACTGCTATTGTGTTGTTAATCAATGTAAATTTGATTGAATTTATATGGAGGGAAATATGATAAGTGTGTGTCCTTATTTGAAGATTTTCCTTTCATAAACACGCATTGTATCTTACTAAATCACAAAATATTTGTTGTAGAATGAAGTAAAAGAAGAAGAATATGCAAAACGTTCATTTGACAAGAATGAAGTTGTTTACATGAAATCAAGACAGAAGACAATCGAATTTCCAAGAGACCATGTTTGTATCAAGAGTATTATTTCGATTGGGAAGTTGTATGACATCAGTAAAGCAGATGCATGGAATATTAATGGCGTCTCTGGACATTCTAACGTAGTGATTAAGAAGAGTAGTAGTGAGTATTTAGTGTAACCAATAATTGTATTTGTCTGCTTCACTAACACAATTTAAGTTACGTAAACTATAACACCCATTTTCAGACGGCGATCCTCTGATAGAAAATGACATTGTGAAGGAAATAGAAATACTGCAATCAATACGTGGACACAGTAATATAATTCGAATACTTGGATGTTGTACAGAAAAAGGTGGGTAAACTGATAAAATGCAACTCTGTGTGATGCATCATATGAACTTTACATGCAATGACTCTTATATATCTCTTTAGCTCCAAGTTTCATAATACTGGATCATTTAAATGTCGACTTGAAGACATTTCTCCAATCGCAGCACAAATATAAGCCATGGAAGCTCCGAATAAAGAACTGATTTCATTCGTATTGAATATCGCCAATGGAATGGAGTATCTGTCTAGCTTAAAGGTATTGTATTATTGTATTATATTGTGTGTGTATATATAAACCAGGATAGTATAGTTTTGAATGAAGCATTCGCAATAATATATATTGGTAGAATAAAAAATGGTGCTTTACAAATGTCACTGCAGTAATCTCAATATTAGCCAACAACTCACGTACATTAATTAGCTTCATCCCAGGGTTATTTACATACCTCAACATGACCTAATAATTCAACCTCCGTACAAATGGTACAGTCCAGAAATGACATTGACCCTGGCATTGAACTCTAAAATCACTTAATGTTAGACTTACCAAAAAAAACATACTATAAAAATAATATGTCGTACACCAAGTAGTCACTACGATTTACTTACCGTAGTTCGTCACTGTACTTTGCTGGGGACAACTCACCACACTAGGAGATATAATGAGGTGAGCAACCATAGCCTAAGTATACCAAAAAACTCAGACTTTCTACACATAACATTGTGACGTCGCGATTATTTTGTATTTTAGATAATGCATCGATATTTGACTGCTGGGCATGTATTGATTAGTGATGACATGAAGTGTAAAATTTCTAATTTTGGTTATGCTAGTGACGTAATAGATGACGCACGTTTCTTCGAGAAAACAAAGGTAAAATTAGTAATTGAGCGCTGTCTTTAGTAATGTTCTCTGATTGAGCAGGTTACAAATAAAATAGTATTATGATTCACTCTATGAGTAAACTCACAGCGTTTATGTTCTGGGTTGTAATATTCTTTAATTATAATTTTAGGGTAATTTTCCGTATCAATGGATGTCAGTTGAAACGCTGTTAAACAGACGATTTACTCCCAAGAGTGATGTATGGTCATTTGGTATTGTAATATGGGAAATTATAACTCAAGGTAAAACATATTTAATTACATTGCGTTATTAACGGGGACGTGACGAAAAGATAATCGGCAGTGTATATTTATCAATAAGTTTAAAGCCATTAACTATTATATATTATATAGTTATTTGTAAGGTAAGGGTGCGTTTTTAAATATACAAAAAATAATACATTAACACAAACAGTAGTACATTAATTTAGCAATTGTTTGTGTCATTTCTATTAAAGCTAAAATCATGATGACCGACATTCTTTTTTTATAGGATCAATGCCTTATCACGATTTAACAGAAGAAAATGTAAAAGTGATGGTAACTAATGGAAAAGTATTATCAAAACCAACTCATTGTCGCGCTGCTACGTAAGTTTCACTGATCGTATTTTGGAGAAAATAATACATCCAACAGGTATAACATATATACTTGCTGTTGCTGATTAATCAACGCACAACTGTATTCTTAGTTTGTGTTTCTATAATGTGGAGGTTTTATTTTAAGATAAACACAATTATATTATATTTAGTATTTATGCATCATTGATACAGACTTCACAAATGTCTCAATAGGTATCAACTGATGAAATCGTGTTGGAATCGTCATCCTCGAGATCGGCCGACATTCACCAAATTGGTCAAATCAATAAGGTCATTGTTCAATGATAGCAAGGTAAGATTAGACTGAAACACATTTAAATTTAATGAATAATTAAACAAGAATTATCCTATAATTGTCTATACAGCATGGACACATAACACATAACACTATTGTGTTATATTCTGTTTATTTAACAGGAACCAGATAACTCGTTTAATGTTAATGAGTCTCCATAACATGACGCATTTGCTTGAAGACCGGCTAACAAAATGTACGTTATATGTCTGACAAGTGTATATCTGTTATAAATCAATCCATTATAAATATGTATTCCTACTTTTACTTCCGCCTAAATCAAATTTCATCTGATCATTTTATTTATGTATAAAAAGTTTGTTTATTTTAAAAATAGCCAAAATGTCGAAATAGCACATATTTGTATCACAATGGTCGTATATTCCTAATTGATTGACATTATTTAC